AGCCAGAGCTGTTCCAACTTGCCGAGACCTCCAAGCTCTCTCGGGATGGACCCTGCAACAATCGAGAGAGCCAAATGGTGATGTCGTTATTGTAGATCGCCGCTGGTGGGCGCGGCGTGGTGTAAAGGTATGATGCGGCCGGCTGGTTCAACATCGGTACGACCTACCGCGTGGGCGAGACACGAAAGGAATCAATCTCCGCACGCCATCCTATCTCACCGGTGAGCTTGTTGTTGCCAACGTCGAGATTCTTCAGCTCGCTGAGAGCTCCAAGCGCCTCGGGAATGGACCCTGCACGAGACAAAAGCACAACGAGCCGCATTGCCTGGTCAAATTGCAAATGTAACGCAGGACATCATGTGTCGCCCACGCCTTGTGTGTACTAACCGGAGGTGCCCCACCACCTAGCCAAACTGTTTTCCAGAACCCAACACCAGCTATGAGACAACGCCTATTATTGTTTCCCTCAGAGTCCAGGTCGATTCGGATCGCGACGAACACGATCAGCATATCGCACTGACACTTAGGTCCAGCATCCCGATCTCTCAAACGGCCCTCGTGACAATATCCCGCCGATCGTCTCGTCGACTACCGGATCTGTTGCAGGCACCAATGCCTCCCTGTTCACACGACATGTAACCTAATCACGTCCGGACTTCGGAGACAACTCCGGGCAGGACATTGAAGAGAGCACGGGAAAAAGACTCCCGCTCGAGCTATGTCTTCGGGTGCTATTGCTACACACAACGGCTCCAAGCTGCGGCGGGGTCGGTATCGTCGACCGCAATGGTTCGAAACACATGGCACAATCGGATGCCCATCCGTCAGGTTCTTCCTGTGGCCTCGACTTACAACGACTAGTCGAGAGATTCCAATGACCGGAGAGCGCAGTAATATAGTCATCCTTCGAGGTGTAAAGCATGGAGCATCCTCAGTTGCATCTACAATGCACCGTGAGGCTGTCAACGTCACACGGCAAGCTGTGACGACACCCCCAGCACCTCAACAAGAAACAGACCACCGATGTGCTGTCGCCGCCACGTAGTGAGGGCAAGTTTCACGCACAGTCGCCACTTCGCCGTGGGCCAACCGACAGAACCGCGTATGTACAGCTGGTGTACTGGGCAAGAAAAAAAAGTGTCATGCCGCCGGCTTGTTTAACATCGGACCCGTCTACCTCGTGGGCGAGACACGAAATGAACCCACGTCCCCACGCCATCCTCCCTCACACATGAACTTGGTGTCGCTCAACGCACAAGATTCTCCACACCACACCGATGTAAGTCTCACGTGTGATCGACCCGCATGCGTTCTCCTAGATGAGAATGTCGCCACCCTCTCGTGGCTTCGGGGGACGCCATAGAAGCCAACCAGACCATCTATTGAAACCCTCTAATGGCAACCAAAAGCTCTTGCCGGTGAGCTCGCTCGCGTCCGGACTACCGCGACCAACACATCGACCTGACACTCACGTCAACAGTCTTGAGCCCTCCAACTGCTACATCCTGCCGATCGTCTCACTATCTGATTACCGGTCGGTATTCTTGCTGGCCACGGAGGCCTCCCTACTCAGACAATATTTCACCGGTATCTCCAACAGCATCGTTTCCGGGTCTAGGCCAAAATGCCAGGAATACAGGTACATGGTGCAAGGGGACACGTCCTCCGCCCGAGTCATGCCTTCTGTACCTCTAAGATGTACAACAGTTCGAAGGTGTGAGATTGTCATCGTTCATGGAGCAAGGTATTCAAGTACGGACACAAAGAGGTCACGCCATTGCCAGCCTCCTGTGGCCTCTCTTTCCGATGGATAGTCGATGGGTTCCGAGGAGGGGCGAAAGGAAAATGAAATGACCACCTCTAAGAGGTGGCACGCCCTGGGTTGCAAGCATCATGTATCGTGAAGCTGCTGTGGAAGGCAACATATAGCGGTGATGACACCCCAACATATGAAACGAGGAGCCACCGATAGGTTGCCTTCATATTTGGGGGAGTGTCACGTGTAGTCCCCACGTCGTTACGGGCCATCTGACATGTCGCGTACGTACATACAACCACGTCGCGCGTCGTGCAGGCGACACCACGAGTCTCATGTAACAAACCAACTGCAAACCTGAGCCAAGGCTCCGTAACATGCACCAATCCAACTGAGCGACTCGAAGACGCAGAGAGGGTCGCCAAATAGGGCGTCGCAGTAGGCACTGATCCCGCGCAACATGGACGTTAACTCTCCCTTACCGGTAAGTTCGTTGCCGTAGAGCCAGAGCTGTTCCAACTTGCCGAGACCTCCAAGCTCTCTCGGGATGGACCCTGCAACAATCGAAAGAGCCAAATGGTGATCTCGTTATTGTAGATCGCCGCTGGTGGGCGCGGCGTGGTGTAAAGGTATGATGCGGCCGGCTGGTTCAACATCGGTACGACCTACCGCGTGGGCGAGACACGAAAGGAATCAATCTCCGCACGCCATCCTATCTCACCAGTGAGCTTGTTGTCGTGCATGGCAAGCACCTTCAGCTCGCTGAGAGCTCCAAGCGCCTCGGGAATGGACCCTGCACGAGACAAAAGCACAACGAGCCGCATTGCCTGGTCAAATTGCAAATGTAACGCAGGACATCATGTGTCGCCCACGCCTTGTGTGTACTAACCGGAGGTGCCCCACCACCTAGCCAAACTGTTTTCCAGAACCCAACACCAGCTATGAGACAACGCCTATTATTGTTTCCCTCAGAGTCCAGGTCGATTCGGATCGCGACGAACACGATCAGCATATCGCACTGACACTTAGGTCAAGCATCCCGACCTCTCAAACGGCCCCCATGACAATATCCCGCCGATCGTCTCGTCGACTACCGGATCTGTTGCAGGCACCAATGCCTCCCTGTTCACACGACATGTAACCTAATCACGTCCGGACTTCGGAGACAACTCCGGGCAGGACGTTGAAGAGGGCAGGGGAAAAAGACTCCCGCTCGAGCTATGTCTTCGGGTGCTATTGCTACACACAACGGCTCCAAGCTGCGGCGGGGTCGGTATCGTCGACCGCAATGGTTCGAAACACATGGCACAATCGGATGCCCATCCGTCGGGGTCTTCCTGTGGCCTCGACTTACAACGACTAGTCGAGAGATTCCAATGACCGGAGAGCGCAGTAATATAGTCATCCTTCGAGGTGTACAGCATGGAGCATCCTCAGTTGCATCTACAATGCACCGTGAGGCTGTCAACGTCACACGGCAAGCTGTGACGACACCCCCAGCACCTCAACAAGAAACAGACCGCCGATGTGCTGTCGCCGCCACGTAGTGAGGGCAAGTGTCACGGATAGTCGCCACTTCGCTGTAGGCCAACCTATACAAACGCGTATATACAGCCTTGCCGAGTCCAAACGCCCCCGTGTGGGGAAACATCGCTTGAAGAAAAAAAGAAAAGCCATAGCAACACATCCACTAGAACACCCATCAAAGTGGCCACGGTATGGCATCGTGCAAAAACGTGTTGCCAAACACCGAACAATGGGTACATGAACGGATACAAGCTGCGAGCTGCGTGAAACGTTGTCTTTGCGACAGCAACAAATACAATACACAAACAACAAACACAAGACATCTTCATCAATGTCGTGCCATCCTACTGCACACTACCCTCCACGGCATCGTGAGCGGGATTGTTCCCGCTTCGCAACGGATTCCTTTCTCCCTCACCGGTCAGTTTGTTCCCGTCGAGTCGAACAATTTGCACCTTTCCGAGGCCTCCAAGCTCTCCGGGGATGGAACCTGCACGGGCGTACAGCAGGTGACCCACTGGTTATCTTGTTGCTGGTGTACTGGGCATGAGGAAACATGTGTCATGCCGCCGGCTTGTTCAACATCGGGCCCGTCTACCTCGTGGGCGAGACACGAAATGAACCCACGTCCCCACGCCATCCTCCCTCACACATGAACTTGGTGTCGCTCAACGCACAAGATTCTCCACACCACACCGATGTAAGTCTCACGTGTGATCGACCCGCATGCGTTCTCCTAGATGAGAATGTCGCCACCCTCTCGTGGCTTCGGGGGACGCCATAGAAGCCAACCAGACCATCTATTGAAACCCTCTAATGGCAACCAAAAGCTCTTGCCGGTGAGCTCGCTCGCGTCCGGACTACCGCGACCAACACATCGCACTGACACTCACGTCAACAGTCTTGAGCCCTCCAACTGCTACATCCTGCCGATCGTCTCACTATCTGATTACCGGTCGGTATTCTTGCTGGCCACGGAGGCCTCCCTACTCAGACAATATTTCACCGGTATCTCCAACAGCATCGTTTCCGGGTCTAGGCCAAAATGCCAGGAATACAGGTACATGGTGCAAGGGGACACGTCCCCCGCCCGAGTCATGCCTTCTGTGCCTCTAAGATGTACAACGGTTCGAAGGTGTGAGATTGTTATCGTTCATGGAGCGAGGTATTGAAGTACGGACACAAAGAGGTCACGCCATTGCCAGCCTCCTGTGGCCTCTCTTTCCGATGGATAGTCGATGGGTTCCGAGGAGGGGCGAAAGGAAAATGAAATGACCACCTCTAAGAGGTGGCACGCCCTGGGTTGCAAGCATCATGTATCGTGAAGCTGCTGTGGAAGGCAACATATAGCGGTGATGACACCCCAACACATGAAACGAGGAGCCACCGATAGGTCATATTTGGGGGAGTGTCACGTGTAGTCCCCACGTCGTTACGGGCCATCTGACATGTCGCGTACGTACATACAACCACGTCGCGCGTCGTGCAGGCGACACCACGAGTCTCATGTAACAAACCAACTGCAAACCTGAGCCAAGGCTCCGTGACATGCACCAATCCAACTGAGCGACTCGAAGACGCAGAGAGGGTCGCCAAATAGGGCGTCGTAGTCGGCACTGTTCCCGCACAACACGGAGGTTAACTCTCCCTTACCGGAAAGTTCGTTGCCGTTGAGCCAGAGCTGTTCCAACTTGCCGAGACCTCCAAGCTCTCTCGGGATGGACCCTGCAACAATCGAAAGAGCCAAATGGTGATCTCGTTATTGTAGATCGCCGCTGGTGGGCGCGGCGTGGTGAAAAGGTATGATGCGGCCGGCTGGTTCAACATCGGTCCGACCTACCGCGTGGGCGAGACACGAAAGGAATCAATCATCGCACGCCATCCTATCTCACCAGTGAGCTTGTTGTCGTGCACGGCAAGCACCTTCAGCACGCTGAGAGCTCCAAGCGCCTCGGGAATGGACCCTGCACGAGACAAAGGCACAATGAGGCGAATATCTGCTCAGATTGCAAATCTAACGCAGGACATCATGTGTCGCCCACGCCTTGTGTGATACTGAACGGAGGTGCTGCACAACCTAGCCAAACTGTTTTCCAGAACCCAACACCAGCTATGAGACAACGCCTATTATTGTTTCCCTCAGAGTCCAGGTCGATTCGGATCGCGACCAACACCATCAGCATATCGCACTGACACGTAGGTCCAGCATCCCGATCTCTCAAACGGCCGTCGTGACCATATCCCGCCGATCGTCTCGTCGACCACCGGATCTGTTGCAGGCACCAATGCCTCCCTGTTCAGACGATATGTAACCTAATCACGTCCGGACTTCGGAGACAACTCCGGGTAGGACGTTGAAGAGAGCAGGGGGAAAAGACTCCCGCTCGAGCTATGTCTTCGGGTGCTATTGCTACACACAACGGCTCGAAGCTGCGGCGGCGGGGTCGGTATCGTCGACCGCAATGGTTCGAAACACATGGCACAATCGGAT